CATCGCTGCTTCCATAAATATGGACATGCTGGTCGCCTGGGGGAAACACCTTACTGCCTTCACACTCCTGTCGCAGAGGACAGTACGACTTTACCCCCAGACCGCCCTGTACCACGATTGCTCGTAGTGCGGGGCCTCGCTGCTCTTGGTCTGGCTGCTCCCCTTTGGCCTTCTTGGCATGGTTGTACCTTGTGGAACGAAGTTCCAGCCAGTGTAGCCCGCGGGATCTTTGCAGCACTCAAGCCCGACCACCACGTCAAGGTGGCAGCTTTAGGTCGGGTGCAGTTGCACTACCCTTCCGGGATCCATTTCGGCGACGAAGCCATTGGCACCGATGATGATGTTCGGGACCTCGTCTCTAGTCTGTCGTCTTGTCATCCAATCAGCCGAATGGTTCTACTTCCCGGATCATGAAGTCGTACTCTTGTTACCGTATTACTCAGCGCGCGAGTTTTCCGCGGGGATCTCTGGTGCTCCTGGTCCACTCGAGAAGTTTGTGACCCATCCCGACGTGAAATATTTGTCCCAACAAGTATGGCCTCCACTTATCTAGGGCCCAGACAATCGCTCAGTGCTCTCTCTATGGTTGAGTACTTCCGGTCAGTGTTAGTACATGACTGGCGTATTCGATGATCCCACTCTTTTGCTTCAAGACTGCATCGACACCATGGTCACTAGCGTCCGTCGCAGCAGTGAACATCTCCCGACCCTGGGCAGTTTGAGGGTCAGATGGTAATGCAGCATCCACGCTTTGGCACAATCAAAAGCCTCTTATCCATCCGAACTTCCGGTTTTGACGCAGTAAGTGATACAGTGGAGCAGAAACCGTATTGAAATCCTTGACAAAACGGCCGTAGTATGCTTACCGTTCGAGAAACTGCCGTAGGGGTCACCATAAATCGGGGACTGCACAGTACTGGATAGTAACCAATTTTTCTGGCAGTGGGCTACCTTCTCCATGACCCACTTTAAGCCCGAACAGTGTCACGGAACTTCAAGGGAGTTGTTTTGGCTTCCATTGTCCGCAGGTCAGCCTCCCGAATACGCTTCAATACGGATTTCAAGTGAACTGTATGCTCTGGTGTTGAGCCGCTATACACGACGTCATTTCCATACAATAACACTTTGTATTCCTTTAGTTAGACGAAGTATCAAGCGCGGGAATGTGAATGGTGCACCGACAAACCAAACGGCATCCGTTTAAATTGATATTGCGAGTTTCCAACCGTAACCATTGTTTTATTCCGGTCCTATGACTTGATAGCTAGTTGTCAGTATCCGGAACGCAAGTCATACACCGGGAAATATCGGAATTCTCAGAGAGAATCGAAAATCTGTGCAACGGAAGGGACAGCTACAACCCGATTTACGGTCAGTTCACTCAAACGCCGGAAACTCACGTACAATCACTATTTCTCGTTCGCGTTTTTTACAAGCACTACCGGAGAGTTATAGGCACTGCTGGCTTCTTCGATTATACCATTTTCAACATCCCGCGGATGGAGCTGTAGCTGACGAAAGCCGTAAGGTCGAAAGCGTTCAGTGGGAGGCTTCATGTTCACTCGTCTCCTATGAACAGTTGGGTGTACTCCTCGTCCACAGACTGTACTGGCGGCACATCACAAGAAACAAGCTTCCGGACACGCATTTCGCTCACGTCAGGCCTTGGTTAACCTTTACGTTTCATGGAGCCATACCTTGTCACCAGTTTCCCTCGGTTTAAGTAAACCACGGTCTCCGCGCAGTTGGGAAAATCTGCTCCGGAATTGTCTTCTCTCCGTCTGGTTTGAGCAACAACTCGTGCCGCACCAACCTGTTGACTAGGCGCATTAAATGCATTGATAATCCGTCGATTTACATTTGGTATCTATCCATCTCGCGCCTAGCGGACACGGTTTGCATTCAGCTTTGTTCCCTCTCTGCTTCAGTAACACTCATGCTCCCGCATCCCCTTTTCCCGTCCATCTCAATAACAACCTGTACCATAGCCTGTGCCACAGCACCAGTCGCAACCCACCTAGGAAAAGAGGAGTAAGCCAAAGCATTGCTATTTACAAGTGGTCGGGTACGGCAGCATTGGTTCTTCCAGTGGTCAGCCGTTCCATAGCTGTAGTATCGGCTCGTTTGAGCGTGCCTCCGCGACTCTGTCTTCATGCCTACAAGCTGTTCGGTTAGTCAGTCTATTTTGATCTGCAGGTCTTCTACTGGTGGATCGTCCCTCTTCTCCTGCGACCGCAACGTGGTCAGTAGCGCCTCGGCCAATTTCCGTACCAGATACACCAGCTCCTCCACACTGAACTGACCACTTGCTCTCGCCAACTGCAAATGGGCATCAAGCGCCGGCTGCACACCTTCGACGGCCTGGTCAGACAGCAACTGTTGGTGTGGCACTCCGTCCAGTCCCGGTAAGGCACGATCTAAACACTGTTGCAGGCTGGCGAATAACACCGTCGGGTCGCATCCCGATCCTATCGTAGCCACCTTGAACCGCCCCATAGACTCCTGGAGGTCGGCCGGTGTGTCGAACTCGACTGCAAGAGCTTCGTTCGCAGTGGCCCAGTCCCTTCTGGCCGCATCCAGGGCCGCCTTCGACGGCTTCTGAGAAGGGTTTTCAGAGCCACCACCTTACCCTGGTCGGTCACCAGTTCAGTCGCCTCCTCAACATCTTCGAAGTCCTCCAGAAAGGTCCGCACATACCCCATCCTCAAGCACTTGTGGCTACCGGATCTTCATCCGTATCCTGGGCATGGCACCAAATGAAAGGCGGAAAGCGATTTGCTGTGAAGTTATTTATTAGTACGAACGGGGAAGTTACGAGTCAGTAGACAGGGAAGCAAGCGTCCCACACGCACTTAGTCTTTAACAACTGAACATCCTCGCGCGTCCTCTTCAACTTTCCTGGATCGTCACTGTCTATTACACAATAGTGAAGGAATGCTGCTACCATCGTGGGTTTTTCTGTACCTCCACATACAAGCATGAGGGATCTTAGATTTTCACTACAACCTGCATGCTAAGGAAAAGGAAAGGAAGAAGATTTGGTCTCGAAATTTCCTTGATTACGCGACTCCGTCGGAAGTGTGGGGTACTGAACTTCCATAAGCAGGTGGGCAAACACAAATGAGGACTTAAAAAGTTCAAAACTAAACTGCTAGTCAGTGCCAGATTCAAATGAATGAGTAGCGAGAATTGGGTAGGCCAAATTGAGACATGGTGACGGCGTCATGCCAGGGTGGATGCAATTCACGGCATGTGACTGATGAAAATACCATGTAAATTCAGGACTCACTTTATCGGAATATACTATCTGATCGGAACATCGATCACCAGAAGGGGTAAGGGCGGACGTATCAGACAGTACAAGCTGAAGTTCGGTCAGTGGTTCCACACACCACCCACATAGTGACACTGGGGATATGTGGATGGAGAAGCACTCCGTGACCTTTGATAAGTGTTGGGATAAGTTCCTCTCGAAATCCACGCACGAATGAGATTCAGCTTGATGAAACTTGGAAAGGAGTACCGCAAGGAACAACGAACACGCGAGGAACATGACCTTGAAACGGTCTCCGATCAAAAAGCCGCTGATATTATCGTGTATTCAGATCACAAAGAGCCCGAACCTAAATGTTGTGGCTTTCTCCAATAATCTAAATGCAAATTGCAACCAGTCCGCTGGAGCACCTTCTTTAGTGGAAAGCTCAACACAATAAAATGACTAACGACGACCTATTGCCGCAATGAACATCATAATAACGCCTAAGTCGTGCACTCACCGATTCACGGATTGATACACAGGATCGAGGCTATCGCCCAAGTTTCTCGGGTCAGTTTTGTTCTTGTCGGTCAGTGGCTGTCGTTCACCTGAAAGGCACAAGTGAAAAAAGGGTGTGGCACTGCTCTTTATATTCTCAGCGCGGGGCAGTATGCTTGCCAGGATTCGCATAAATAAATGTCTAATAGTGCATTAAACTGGGTTCTGGAAGGAGCGTGGACAACCGTCGGATCTTTAACAACTGAACATCCTCGCGCGTCCTCTTCAACTTTCCTGGATCGTCACTGTCTATTACACAATAGTGAAGGAATGCTGCTACCATCGTGGGTTTTTCTGTACCTCCACATACAAGCATGAGGGATCTTAGATTTTCACTACAACCTGCATGCTAAGGAAAAGGAAAGGAAGAAGATTTGGTCTCGAAATTTCCTTGATTACGCGACTCCGTCGGAAGTGTGGGGTACTGAACTTCCATAAGCAGGTGGGCAAACACAAATGAGGACTTAAAAAGTTCAAAACTAAACTGCTAGTCAGTGCCAGATTCAAATGAATGAGTAGCGAGAATTGGGTAGGCCAAATTGAGACATGGTGACGGCGTCATGCCAGGGTGGATGCAATTCACGGCATGTGACTGATGAAAATACCATGTAAATTCAGGACTCACTTTATCGGAATATACTATCTGATCGGAACATCGATCACCAGAAGGGGTAAGGGCGGACGTATCAGACAGTACAAGCTGAAGTTCGGTCAGTGGTTCCACACACCACCCACATAGTGACACTGGGGATATGTGGATGGAGAAGCACTCCGTGACCTTTGATAAGTGTTGGGATAAGTTCCTCTCGAAATCCACGCACGAATGAGATTCAGCTTGATGAAACTTGGAAAGGAGTACCGCAAGGAACAACGAACACGCGAGGAACATGACCTTGAAACGGTCTCCGATCAAAAAGCCGCTGATATTATCGTGTATTCAGATCACAAAGAGCCCGAACCTAAATGTTGTGGCTTTCTCCAATAATCTAAATGCAAATTGCAACCAGTCCGCTGGAGCACCTTCTTTAGTGGAAAGCTCAACACAATAAAATGACTAACGACGACCTATTGCCGCAATGAACATCATAATAACGCCTAAGTCGTGCACTCACCGATTCACGGATTGATACACAGGATCGAGGCTATCGCCCAAGTTTCTCGGGTCAGTTTTGTTCTTGTCGGTCAGTGGCTGTCGTTCACCTGAAAGGCACAAGTGAAAAAAGGGTGTGGCACTGCTCTTTATATTCTCAGCGCGGGGCAGTATGCTTGCCAGGATTCGCATAAATAAATGTCTAATAGTGCATTAAACTGGGTTCTGGAAGGAGCGTGGACAACCGTCGGAGGAAGGTCATTCCACGCAGCTACTACCCGAAATGAGAAAAAACTTTGTCGAATGAATGTGTGTGCTCTGAGCTTGAAAATTTTCTTACTATGTCCCCGCCGTGTGTTTGCTGGGTCAACGGTGAAAAACCTGTTTGCCAAGCTTTGTTCAAACAGGGCATAAGTAAGAATTAGGTCCCCTCGGAGGCGACGGTACTCCAGGGGAAAGAGATCAAGCATCGCGAGACGCGTTTCGTTGTTCACGGATTTAAGGCCGGCAACCATTCTCGTAGCGGCCCGCTGGACACGCTCGATGAGGGTGACGTCTTTCGTGCGTCCTGAGTAGACAACTTGGTTGGCGTTCTCCAGGAGCGATCTGACGTAGGCCCCATAGAGTAATACGGGAGAAGGTGCGTCGGATCATTCGTGAAGAGGCGAATGCCTTTTGGGCTGATTTCTCATGGTGCAGTGAGAAAGACATGTTTGAGGAGACTCAGTTACCCAAGTCCTTTTTGGCACCTATCCTCATGATGTTTTATGGTCCCCTCTCACCATGCATAACAAAGGCATTCGCTGATTCCCCTCCAAACGACATATAGACCAACTTTCCATCATTCAGAGGAAGGTGCCAGTCCAACGACCACTGCCTGGCATCGTCTGCATCCATTTGAAGGCAGTAGCATTGGAACTCCAGGATTTCAAGTCGTCCGCAAACAGTAGACATGGACTCGCGAGAATATCTGGGAGATGGTTGACGTAGATCAGAAACAGCACTGGTCCCAGGACGGAGCCTTGTTGAACTCCTATGGAGACCGACGCTGGGGAAGATTAGGTCGAGCCTATTCTCACTCGCTAGTGAGGCCTATAGGCCTATAGCTGCCAGGCGATAATCGGGCCCCAGTTTTGTAGCTTGGCGTTATACTCGCGGTCACCAGTTTTGTAGATTGGCGTTACAATCGCTTCCTTCCAAGCAGAGGGAAGGCGGCCTTCGTCAAGCAACTGGCGAAATACCATGTGCAAATGGTTTGTCAGTGTGGAGGACGTTTCTTTCAGGATCCTTGGACGGACCTCGTCGGGTGCAAACGCGCAGAATGGGTTGATCTTGTGCAAGAGTTGACGAATGTCCTCCACTGTGAAGATCAAGTCGGTCAGAGGTTGTTCGTAGTTTCGCCTTGACAAGAGTGGATGTGACGAGGACGCTGGGGCTGAGTATGGTAGCGCATAGTGTTCCCTGTAAACCTCAGACACAACTGTTGTGTCACTTGTCGGTTCTCCGTTCCTGTCCCTCAAGGAGAACGCAGATGGCTTGTTTCTGCGGCGATGTCTCATGTACTTGAACAGTACATTTTTGTTTCTTCGAGCGAGGTCCAGAATGGTGGCTTGTTTTCGTATGATCCATTGGCGGATTTCCGATTTACAGCGGTTCCGCATTTTACGAAATGCCAGCTCATCTTCTGTATCCCCTGTGGTCAACTTTTTAAAAAGAGTTGGGATCTTTTTTCCAGAAGTCGCCGAATCCTTTTTGGCATCCTGCGGTTCATCCGAGTGCGTGCCGGTTTTTTTTGGGACGAACTTCCTGGTCAATGGTGCTATATAATTCTCCTACCGGAGCTGTTCCCAGGGTGACTTGTTCAAGGCAGATGCGCATTCCTGAGAAGTCTGCACGGCAGACGTCTCGAAACCACTTTTGAGGTTTGGGATTTCTGGCCCAATAGCAGATGAAATCAAAGGTTAGCACACAGTGGTCGCTATGTCCCAGTGGAGCGTTAATGGTTACCTGATCAACGAAGTGTCTTTCGTTGGTGATGACCAAATCCAGGAGGGATGATATTTTGCCTGCGCGGTATCTAGTGGGTGCAACGACACGTTGGGCCAAGCGCTCTGTTGAACGACTTCAATCAGCGCCGCTGCAAAAAGTCCAAGCGATTCGACGCGCTGGAGCTCAATCCAGGCCTTTGGGGCGTTGAAGTCACCCACAAGCAGGAGATGAGTTCATGGTGCGGACGGACCAGAAGACATTACGAGCATAGATGTCGGAAGAATTTGGGTATCTGGCTGCCTTAAAACATGTCCTTCTTACCGTGCCATGATAAACAGACTCAAAAGGCATTCGCTATTCTACGGATGATTAGGTGCACCTTCCCCGTATTACTCGCAGTGACTTCCAGACACTTTGTGGGGCCCACGTCAGACCGCTTCTTGAATATGCCAACCAAGTTATCTACTCAGGACGCACGAAGGACGCAACCACTATTGCGGATGTCCGGCGAGCTGCTACAAAAGTTGGTCGCCGGACCAGTCGCCCCACGAATCATGGTTACGCGGAAAGGGAAGCAAGCGAACACTTGGACTTCTAGTAACCCCATTCTCCGCATCTGCCACATAGATCTTGGAGCGGGCTGTCAGAATTCAAAATGCTTGCCCAACATCAAGTGTATATCAGAGTATCCCCATCTAGAGGTGCGAAAGCTGGGTCACGGAAAACCCAGAGGGAAGTTGAGAAACATACTTTCGCTTGGTGCACATCAGCCAACCCCAAACTTACAGCCGAACCGATGGTAGTTGTGACCCCTTGTACTCTTTGAAACATGCCGACGCAACCAAATTGCTGCTGCTATTCAACCTCTGCAGGCCTCTCGACTAACAAAGCTAGCGGTGCTCGGGAAGAGACAGGTCGGGCGTGGGCACAGCGCCCAAAGTATGTAGAGACATCATCCCTCAGTTCCGCAGCAGATGATGAAGAGGCAACAGTGTACTCCGCACACAAGTCGCAAATTCTGGGCTGGATTAGGTCAGATATACGGTTGCAAGCGGCGTAGCCTACCAACAAGTCAGTCTAATTGGGGAATTTCGCAAGAAGCCGACAGCAAGTCTCCAGCAGCACTCAATCAAAAGTGGCCTTCTCAGTTGTGGGCGCAGTTGCCGCCCATAACGCCGAGAGCGAAGCCGCAAACCTGACAACTGTGAGCCGGAAAATCCTTCGTGCATTTGTTTGGACTTCCTGATGACGGGCGACTCGGGAGTCCATAGAAACGCGAAAAAACCAACAACAGTCAAGTGAAACACATACACTTCGCGAAATCACAAAGCTGCTGGCTAGCTCCAAGGTGCAATCTTTTGCGGAAACGAGCCTCGTGAGAGCGCCACGAAAAAATACTTCTTTGTGCTGCCACCCAACGCACAGTGCTCACAGAAAAGTGGTGTCCATCAAAGTGCGCCAAAATTCCCAAGAAACCAAACAAACTCATACACATCCTAAATCCTTCAGCAACAGCAAGCCCAATCGTGCAAAAGTTGGTATTCAACGAACTAAAAGAAGTAGCGGTCGAAATATCTGCCACTGCCAAGGCGGGAAACAGAGAAGTATGCAGCTGCGGCAATGGACTCAGACTCGGCGTGCAGCTATTCAATCTATTAACCTCACTGGAAGTTTACCACTCCGCTACCCTCCTTCCGAGGCAGCAGAGACTTTGTTGAAATGCTTACTCACAAACTACCTGCCTCTTCAACAAGCTTCGCGATATTTAGCAGTCAGTTTGTCTTAAAGAGTCGCCCATAATCGTACTCACATAAACTTGGCTCATCAGATTTCTGTGATGTTTAGATGACGATAGACGGTTACTCCGTTTTACGAACTGGCCCAGAACGCGGACGGGCAGATGGGGTGACTTGATACTTCCATGCTGCTCCGTCCATCCTGGGTGTCCTCTCTGACACCACGCGTACACATTTTCTGATACACTGTGGATTCAATTCCCGCTGGTTGGGACCAGTTGTCTTCTTATAGGCGTGGTCTACTGTTGCCTTTCACCGTAAGAGATAGCCAGTACCTCATTCGAAAACTAAAGCAAAAAACTTAAGTTCCTCTTGCTGGTACGTGATTTCACCACACCCAAGGCCCCCTGGATAGAACTTAGCGCATCAGGTCTAGCAAGCATTTTTCATCGGTGCTAATCAAGTTCGCTCATCAGAAGGCTGGTACTCAACACCAGATACTGCGCTGTCCAACTACCATTAATGCTCGATCTGTTTGTCAACAGCGAAAAACACTTCATTGAACAAGTGTTTAGTTAAGCCTCAGTGGGATAACACCTACAAAAATCCCGTGTAATTTCCATCCAGGTAAATAGGTGAATAACTTTTGTGTGTTTTTCACATCTCAGGTGAAACAAACGAGATGGTTTTTCTTGGCGAACTCCGTTATGACAGTTTTTTCAGAGAGCTCGCCCGTCGTCCAGTAAAACAATGGAAGACGACATGATGCGTTGTGCTGTAGTGATGGGAGTACAGCATCGATTCCCGGATATATACAACTAAGCGCTTTGCGATATCTGTATGTCAATATTCAAACATAACGGTAACTTTTCCATTAAAATAAGTATGTTGTTTAGCTTATCGTAACTGCTAGGCTAGTGTCAATGCGTGACGCTGATAATGAGACCACACTTAAGCACATTAGCCTTAACTGCTAGGCTAGTGTCAATGCGTGACGCTGATTATGAGACCACACTTAAGCACATTAGCCTAATCCAATGTCCAACGATGGTCTTTTATGTTCATAACTATGAGCGATGTTGGTTACCTGGCTAGGTCTTTCCCATGCCACATGTTAGGTTTGAGGCTTCAACCATGCACGATCGCCTAACCCGCCGAGCAAAAGTCGTTTCCCCACGCCCATAACTGACCTTGTCGTCACACGTACTGTTAAAACTAACACGTGGGTTTCGCTACCTTGTGACCACTTTGCCTCGATTCGGTGTGGACTTTGGGATCCCGTTAGAATTTGGCGGTAACTAAACCCGTGTATTAAATCCGGTGTGATCCGACGATTTGAGTAACGCATTTGTTCAGAAGCCTCCAGTTGGAAGATTTGAATATTCGGCTTTTATGAGTAACTCAACATAGACCAACTGATTGCTGGAAACCATCCATCCAAGTTTGGATTTGATGAATTTGGAATCTGACGACTGAATGGTTAGACAAGTACCCTAAAATTCAATCTCATATAACGCACAAAAAATGAGTGCCCTCTGCGTGGATGAAACAGCTTCTAGTGAGATGAAATAAGATTGGTGATACATGTTTCGTACAACTAACATGATCCACGTGCTGGTGTAACGATGCCATGCAAAATTGTGGAGTCTGTTGAAAAGTTCACTTTATGGAGGCTTTCCGCCTGTTCCGACGATAAGGCTAAGGAGAATCAAAATGTCCCGATGTTTCAAGCACAGACTTCAGAATGTGTTTCAGAAATAACCGCCATTTAAAAAGTTAGGAGAGAGGAAGGTATTATCGATGGAATGTTTCAGATTACCTTGGTGATTTTCACGCTAAAATATTCGGGCCTGATTTTCACGTTATGCGAACCACTGCAAGGTTTGCGGATATTGACATTCCGAAAGATTAAGTAATCTAACAGGGAAATCAATAACAGAAGGTATACGAGAATGATCCAGAACTGCTGTCTGGGGAACAACTGAAACAAATGTCACTGAGCAAAATGACTATAAATTAAACATAGTTCGGTTGAGACAGAAGTAAAAACGAGGAATTCAGCTGGGTTCCGAGTGAATATCGCGTTCAAAAACAAATTAGTATGCAGATGAATGTATTGATGGAATGTCGTGCAGCTTGGTCTTACGTAAAACACAAGTTTGACGGGAACTCAGGGACTGCGCCTACCTACTGAGCCCCTAGAAGACCAAAATCTGCCGTGACATGCCAAAGAATTTCAGGAAATTAATAAATAGAGCATCACTTCCATATAATGTATCGCGATATCTCGAATATCGTACCCAATACGGCATGAGCCGGCTCGGTGCAGCACATTCAAGGGCCTAGGGATATCATAAACGGAGATTCATCTGGGCTTAAGGTGAATCTCCCCTCAACAGCAAAGTGCAATGCAGATGAGTGTATACGTCGACTCTAAATTTACTGTGGTCCGAAAGGGCCAATTCCTTAAAAAATAATGCCTGCTTGTGTGACATTTCCCCTGTTTATGAAGATGGGTGTCAATAAAACTATTTACGGACATTAGGAAAGATTTCAGTGTTTAAAATACCCCGGAAAATCACAGAATGATTGATCTTGTGGTTGGTGCACTTTGTATCGTAATGCACATGGACATCCTTTCAAAATGCATCTGAACAATCTGTTTGACTTCAGCCCAAACAGGTGGATGAAATGGGCGATGTAGCTATTGGATTAGATTTTAAACACAGAACAGCAACTTCGCCAACTGCAAGTTCTAGGCTCCTATAGAAGTGGAATAGTGATGTGTTACCTTCATCATTAGTGACGCTTGTGTATAACTGACCGTTCCTGACGTTTATCTTTTGTAAGCTTTGTGTAACGTCCCACCGGTCCAACAGCTATTTGCTGAACAGCTGATCACTGGTGGCTGGTGAACCTGCATTTCTCTCTCACCAAAGAATTTGAATCCACGAATATCATCCGTTTCGTTCTCCGCAAGCTCCGTCTACCACTTCCGTACTTTAAACAGAAGCCAAACTAATATATTCACAAGGTTAGTGGAACCATTCCAATAAGAGTGATAATGTGATCCATGTGTGA